TCCTCGAGAGCCTGACGAAGCTGATCTTCGGTATATTGAGGCATTATATATAGAAGAAGACATGTGCAAAAGATGAGCCCATTTGGACGCGAATTGAAAATGTTGTGATAAAAGGAGGTTGGGGGTGGGCATTGGGTTGTGGTGGATTTTCGCGTTTTTGTGGGTGCCAGAAACAGGGGGGGTGCCAGGAAGTGGGTATGTTGACTTATCAAAGTAACGAACCCACAAAACCCGCGTAACTCCCCTTCTTGTCAAGGGAGGCAGCCGGCCTGGGTGTGACTGCAAGGTCGACCTTGAGAGCTCTTGCTTAGAGCTAAGCGTACCTCCCTCAAGCAATATTCCAATGTCGCAGCTTCCAACTAGATTGACAGTCAGTTCCGGCGGCAAGGACGCCAGTCAAACCTGTCTGCTGCTGACGAGACAAAGGGACTGTGGTGGATGTAGATGTATCGTCGGCCAGAGCTGAGAGTTGGCGGGATGGCGGGGTCGCGTCAAAAGGCATCACGCCGTGTATTTGGCGTTTTGCAAATCTCCATGAAGATCGTTGCCAAGCGTTAGCGACCTTGAGGAGGTCCGTCATGTCGCCAAGAATCTGGTGCAATGTGGCGATTCTATCAAGAAATATCGAATGGAAAAGGTTAGTAAGAGTTAGGTAAACCAGTAGATACATGAAAACTTACCACACACATCAGAAACCAGGTGATAACAAGTATAACTGGAGGCAGAAACGCAGCTTTTCGTAAAAAAGTACGAGGTACTCTTGAAATACTCGAAATACCGAGAAATAGGTACAGTATAAGAGAAAAGCTGACCAAGTTAACAAAGAAGCAGCTTTCTATTCCTTGGAGGGGACAGGGCCCAGGCGAGAAGAAGCCGAATTGAGGAGGGATGCGTAAATAACCCGTTTGAATCTCGAAGCATCGCTCGCCGAGAGTTCGAAACAACGGCTTATTGTAGTCTCGAATAGGATCAGTGGCGAGAGCCCATCGGTAGATCTCATAACTCCCATCTGTTAGGAGTGCGAAAGTTGCGCTGTCCATTGCCAGGCAATCCTGGAGCCTAGATCCAGACTTGAACCTTGTGTAAGGTAAGCAATTGGGGTGCGTTGATCTTGAATTGAAGAACAGGATAAAGGCAGGGTAGCCGTTGTATCGCGAAAGTGTGATCTTGATTGGGACGTATTAGGGGTCGAGGAACGACGATGTCAGAAACCTTTAGTGGGAGGCTTTAGTAGGGACGATGAATGGTTCGGAAGTGCGTGTACATGAAATGGTTTGGCAGGATTCATCAACAGACTGCTTATTTATAAAGGCCTGCCGCTACCGTTGTGGCCGATTCTGTCGTGTAAGCTTTGGACATTGAAAAGCTTAACGCTACCACGTTTCGCGTGTTGTGTCTTGTCCATAGTCACCCCACGTTACAGTAATCCAATCGTCGTGCTTAGGGCCTTGAGGGCCAGGGCGAAGTCATCTCTAGACAGTGTAACTTACCTGACAGCCATCAGGGTTGTTGTTGAGAAGTCTCCTTCAGCCACGTTCTCACTACTAGGTGCTTGAAGAGTATGGTCTCTGATAGGGCAGGCTACCTTGAAAAGGGTCTGTATATTGAATGTATTATGAACTGTGTATTTCGTTCAATGCCTGTTGAACATAAAGGACGACTACATGCTTGGAGGTCCAGATGGACTGTGCCTCCCCTAAGCATGATGAGAAAAGCAGATCCATAAATGGGCAAATGGAAAAACACATTCCAAATGGCAAGAGATTGGATTTTGCACCACCCTATCTAGTAAAGGTGCCTTGAAGCGGCGGGTCATTCGGCTGCACCTCGCCGGCAGAGTGGCCATATAAGCTGAGACACCCGTTTCTAGATCTTATGACGAAGCAAACGACGACAAAGCGACGGATGCCTTCTATCTTACAGACCACACGTTGATTGAGCAAGCTTTACAAGCGCTAGAGAGCATAGACATGAAACTACCGATAGTAACATCACGGGACCACCCAAAGCCGAGAGTTTATACTTCGAAAGTCGTTCAGCAAAACATCATCAAGATATTCACCACACAGATTCCAGTGTCCCAGAAGAGAATGCTCGCAGTTTCACGAACTCCATCAAACACACGCTTCTATTTCCGCACAAAAGACGCAGCGCTGTTTCGTGCCATGGAAAAGGGTCTTTTTGACGAATCATCCTCGAGTGAAGTTTCTCAAGAAGGCTGGGATAAAATGATCGAAGTCTAGAAGAACACCGTCGACTGTCAAAAGCTGCATGAGAATAATACCGATGTCGATTGGAACGAGCCGCTATGCTTTGCATCTTCGATTGCCATGGCGCGCAACCAGAAGTCAATGAATACGTGGGCACCGGAAGATATGTCAGAGCACGCTTTGGCATTTTTACTTGAGAGATCATCCGACAACGGGTTGTTCCCAGGAGAACTTGATCAGCAAGGCTCGCCTTGCATGTAAAAGGACGAGTTTGCTCGAGACAATTTATGGGGAGTTACCTTCGAAATCCCGTACCTTCTTTGGAAGCACTCTTCTTCTCTCGGGGTCAAGCCTGAAATTGTCAAGGGTTCCCAAGAGACCAGTCCGACAGACGATACGAAGTCCCATAGCTCCAGATCTTCATCTCAGCCGGAATTCAACAGGAAATTTCTTTCACTTCTCATAGATCTCACGCAACAGAACCGAGAAAAAAACGACAAGAAGGCCTCTAGTTCTTCCATGAAGCATCACTTCCCGTTCGGCAATACAATAGAGCTACAAAGCATTGTTGAGCTTGAAGACCAATGGCTGTACAACAAACCCCTCTTTTTCAGCCAAGATGCTTTGGACATGCCAAAGACAACTGATGACACGCCTATTCTGGGTGTTGTGATCGATGTGCCCAAGGCTGGCAAAGGAGCAGAGGCTAGGAAGGAAGACTCTCGGTCGGTAAAGATATCTAGGGTCAGCACAATGGAAAACCTTTTGGACCGGAGGCTCAGAACGCCCAAAGATGCCAAGAAAAGACTCTGGGCCATGTTCTCCGCTGGACCGGATGATATCACTCATTGTGAAAACACTGCTGGACCAGATCCCATTACGCAGCACCAGATGGCCAACTTCCACCGGAGCCACAAATCTTTTGAAAAACGTTTTGAAGAGGAGACCGTGGCAAAGCTGAAAACATGGACGACTGAGCCTCACTTGTCATTCTACGACATTCTTGAGGGAAACAAATCTCAGAAAGAACCGCAGGATACAGGGGATCTAAGCCTGCCGCCTACAGAAGCAAAGCTTGTCGATACCTTCCTGACGAGAGTTCCCACAAGCTGTCACATTGAAGGGGACTTTTTTGATCGATACTGGACCTGTCGCTACTGGAAAATAGATCAACACTGGAAGAAAAGCGACGGCTCACATACGAACAGTCTTGATGTAAAAGAACTAGAACTTTTACTAGCAGAGGTTGAAGAACATCCAGACAGAATAACACAAAACGAAGATGCTTCCAAAAGGTATGAAGAAATCAGAACACATATCCGGACACATATAAGAACTCTTCAAGACGATGACCACTCGTCAATCACGGATGAAGATCGTAGCCAGAGGTCCACAGAGCCTGACATGCATATCAGCAGGACTGTGGTCGAAGCGATGATGACTCTTATGCTCAAGACTGAGAAGGAACCCACGGCTCAAGGTTTACAGAAAGGTCCTTGGCAACAAAGACGAGTCCTGGAGCTTTTGCTCGTGAGGAGAATACTCAGAAAGATGTTCAAAAGCTCGGACAGAATCCTGAAGATGGCTCGATCCAGCATCGAAAAGGTGAACTCGCTGGCTGTCGAGCATAATAAACAAGGTGAATTCGACAAATTTGACCTCAACGACTTTCGAGTCGCCCGTAGGTGTTTCCAGCAAGTTCAAGACGTCCTTCAAATGGTAGAAGGAGATCTGGCGGGGAATTTGGCACAGATGGAGTTATGGCGCACTCGGGAAAAAGACCGTCAGGCAGAAAAGCCGCGATGGACCTTGAACGACGAAAACCGCTACCGAGTTATCATTGTGAAACTGCGTGTTTCGAATGAACACGATGTTCAGAAGCTGAAGCGGATTCATCTGGAAATTGCGAGCTTGAATGAGCTTCTTGTGAAAAGGTTAGAGGTCATGCGGAACGATCTGGAACAGCGTCGGGCGAACGACATCCAGAAGTTTACCTACGTTACTGTCGTGTTTCTACCTCTAGGTTTCGCAACTGGGGTGTTCAGCATGAGCGGTGTACCCGCTGGTCAAACCCTCGTTGGCTTGGTGTTCACCGCGATCGTGTCTTTGGCTGTCACTGCACTGATGCAAGGTGTTACGCAGGCGTTCTACTCCAGGACACTCACCAAGTGGCGAAAGCAGGCCATTGAGGCTGTATCTGCATTCCCTAAGAACTTATAGACCGTATAGAAGAAGAAGCTGGCGGACCCGGAGAGGGCAGACGCTTCAAGGTTGGGTGGTGGGGCTGAGGCTTCGAGAGAACGAAGAGCTTCGCTGGAGAGGAGAGCTTGAGAGCCTGGTGCCCGTCGCAGCGGTTCATAGATTGACCAGAGTCTTTGCTAGTTCGAGAAACGTAGCTTGATTGTTTTAGTTGGTCATTTTGCATTCCACACGCTGCAGTTGTTCAACCGGGGTTCCCGTAATCGCGTTTCCCTTTGTATCGTTGGCCTTTTCAATTGATTTGCTCAGGATACGATGCCACTTCTCTGTGCATTTGATGCTCCGACTGCATTCCCATAACTACATGTAACACCTCTGGCCTCCTAATTCACCACTCTCATTCCACAACTAGCCCAAAGAATTTGTCTACATCCAGCAGGGCAATAGAAGAACAGGTGATTGCAGCGTGATATGTAAAGTCGATACTGATGTCGGTTGCGACGCATCAGTGACTCGGGCTATTGGCCCGCGCCCCAGCGCTGCACCGAGCTTCTCCCTTCTGACGCGAAGGGCCCTTCAACACCCCAATGCCAACATCGTTCGGAAGGAAAAGAGACTCGTCTATCCCAATTGTAAAAACCTCTTTCAATACGTGTGAAATCGACTCGCACCACTGTCTTCGTAACACTCGGTTCTGATGCTAATGGCTTATCGGGATAGACGGAAGAACCTCGACCTCGCCCATAGCTCAGTCGACCGAACAACTCTACTGTCACCGAATTTGATAAGCCCTCAATTCAATACCATCATTATTACCATCCGTAACAAATCGAAGTCCATAGTACGAACGACCTGTATATAATCCAATCAAACTATCACTCAGAATGGTCCGTAGGCCAAAGTTTTCTTCCATCAAGTTGACGATTTCTGGGAATAGTTCAACATTTCTAGAGAGGTTGATCATGGGACATCATTTCCTGCTCAAGACCATCCCAACTAACACCTAGGACACATTTGGGAGCCCCTCAGAGGTAGACCCCGCGTTGCGCCTCCCCTCACCTTCCCCTGCCCAGCCAAGCTGCATCTAGTACTATCCCTTAAAATGGCGTGATGGGGTCAACATGGCTGGCGGGAGGCAAGGGAGATTGACAGCCACCCACGTTACAATCACAACGTAGGGATTGGTGGAAAAGGAGGGCGTAGACGACGCTACGAGCTAGCTCGCGCGGTGAATGCAAGCGCTACGGATGTTGTCTTCCCAAGAGGAGGAAAGTATGAAGAGCTTAAGCATAACCAATTGTCATGCTCTCACGAGGGGTCTCTTCAGGTCTCTATAGGAAGAGCCAGAGGAGCCAGCCCCGCGGATACCTACCGATCTAATGCAGCGGGAGGCGATGGGTTCTCTCTCGAGGAGAGCCGGCTGGGGTGTCCGCACCGGCGCCGTGGAGGCGGAGGGTCCAGAATCCAAAGCACGCAAGCACTCAGCTGCCGGCTTGCCCGGTGATCTCTCATCCCGCGAGAATAATCTGCCGCAATTGCGAACTATCGCCAATGGATGTGTTCCAGCCTTCTCTTTACACAGACTAGAGCGGCACACTTCTTGATCCCGAGGAACAGATATCGAGCTACTTTGGCCCTGCGTTGGCTTCCTGCAACTCTTCTGCAAAGGAAGCTTTTGATCACACCCGGCGACTTGGTAGCCAATTCGCAATCGCCTCGCTTCTGACGGTGCTGGGCGAAGAGAGGAGACATCTGATCACGCGGTTCGGATTGGGCTCCGTACCCTTCAGGTGCTGCCGCGTAGCTCAGGTGGGAAGTCGGGACGGTTTCTTCCAAAGACATTAGGCAAAAAAAATGTCGAATCTTTTGCCATCTCGTTTCTGACAAGCGTCGCAATCATCGGCCAATCCAATTAGCAATACCACGCGCGTCCGGCACTGTTGTTCAATTTCGGCGGCGTCAGCTTCGGCGCTTGACTCGTAAAGGGGGTTCGTCACTCCGTGTTTGACTGCTGTCACTCGCAAGTCGCAGAGCAGAGGAGACGACACGTCTTGGCAAATCAATGCTGTTGCGGATCTTGAAACCTTCCAATCGCCCATGCTTCAGGTACGACGGTCTTGGCGTCCCATCGGGGCATCCGGCGGAAACATGAAGACAAGAGGGAAGACGAGGCTGCGAAAAAGGATGTTAGAGAGCTGAATTTCGGCGGGACTCCGCAAAGAATTGGGACCCTTTGGAGTTGTCCGCCTTGACAAGCGTCTTGGGAGATGGAGACGAGAGGAGTACCCTCACCCAAAGTTGGCTCGCCGGCCGTCGATCTCGGGCGTCGTTAGTCCTCCGTATTCCGAGTACCACTCTGGGAGAGTCTGGGGTTCCGTTTCTTGAATACGATGCGACGGCGCTGGCCAAGCAGCTTAGCAGAGCGGCGCCGTTCCCAGTGAGCGCATCCGTATCTCTGTTACTGCCAATGAGACTTGAGCAGTTCAGCTGGGCAAAAACACCACAATTTCTTACGAGACCAGATCTTTGATGATGCGCCGCCTGACGTGGCCATGCATCGTGACGAAGAGCAGGGAACATCGCTACCACTTTCCGGCTGACGTCAAGGCCGCCCCGCGGGAGAGAACCATGTCTCGTCAGCTCATGGATTGCTCCATGTGTCTCAGTCAGAGAAAATCAGTTATCCCGAAGATGGTGAGAGTGCTGTCTTGGGTGTCCCACACCGGGCCCGCTGAAAGGCGACGAGCGTCATCTCCCCAGATATCATCGCGCACCTTCAGCGTCGCATCGCAGCTGGGGAGTGTTTGCTTCAAACTTCAAGGTGGTCTGGAAGAACAAAAAACAGGGACCTGTCACTGGATGGAGCTGCAGGCTGACGAGCGTTTCGGTGTAGTTGATGAATAAACGTCGGCTGATTTATCTGCACAATTGACAAAAGTACATACAGAGTAGTAGAAAAAAGCCTCTTCCGTTGGTTGTGCTTCTAGCCGTCGATCATGAACCTGAGCTCAGCGACTTGCATCGGCAATGTACTCTGCGGTCAGTCAAGCGGTCAGGCTGCCCGGGAGGTGGGCAAGATGAGATGCCGCGCCGGGTCAGCACATACCTCCATCCATCTTCTTCTCGTCTCTTTCGCCTCCCTTGCGCCCGACTATTGCTTGCTTCAGAATGGACTCAACCAGCGGTTGAGTGATCGCGGACAGTGATGCGAGAGAAACAGAACCAACAAAGCGATGCCCGCGATGCGACGTACGACACGACGCGGGGTTCCGGCAGGCTAGGGTATTCCTAGTCTACTGGGTCTTCTAGGGTCCTCTAGCTTTTTACAGCCAAGACCCAAGCATCTTGGCCCCTCCCTCTAAAGATGGAAAAGACGAAAGATTGGGATCCCACGTCCCCTGTAGGATACGGGTTGCGGCGGCGTCGGAGACTTCTCATGGAGCACTGGGTTGGTCCCAGTATCATGGTTCCTATTCTACCGGCCCTGTCTCTCCAAGACTCTCCAAGACCAGATTGATTAAGCAACCACCCCCAGTCACAGGGCCTGTCAAGACTTCAGGACAGTCCCAAGAATCGAACTCTATCAGCAGACCTCGCTCAACTTGCACGGCAGAAACGAGTTCGTCCCTTTTGTCGCGCCGTGAATCGTGGCGCTGCGCACTATGCTTGTTTCAGCCCCTGTCTCCGAGCACCGGCCATTTAATTCTCGCTCTCTATAGCTTTTGTGTAGGGTGTCTAGACAGTTTGGACATAGGCTGCGGTCGACGATGAAGCGGGCTCTGCATAGGTCTGCAGCAGTAAAGCGAGAAACGCAACGTGAACAACTCCCGACGGTCCTCGAGGACATGCGTTTCCACGCGGCGCAATGTGGTGAACAGGGGTCCTTTTCTGACCGGTCTGTCAGCAGCTGCATCATGGGGAGCACTCCTCTCTTCTCTCACTCAACTTTTCTCAAGCTCTTATTCAACGAGTCCGGCGGTCGCATTGCCAAGCCACTATGCACCGAGAGACCCGATCATGACAGGGGACCATCAGAAAGAAACTGTCAAGGAAGGCCTGGGCCGCTGAGACTCGGCTTTGCTGTCTGCCCATCTTCTCTGATGGGGGGTGAACAACAGCAGTAGCTGACGGACGAGACCACGACAGGCCAAGCTTCATCGTCACAACATGACAAGTTCTGAAGGCGGGAAGCGCACTCGTTGCTCAATGCGCCTAGGCGGCGGCGCAGGAAGAGAAAGAGAGAGCAAAGATATCGTCGTCTTACGCGGGGCCATTCCGATATTTCAGGGTTCTCGAGGTCACGCTGTACGGCGTTCATAGGGCCATGAGGTCCCATCCTACGAGAATTGACGACACCCCCCAGTTCCTGCATCGCAGCAAAGTTCCACGACGTCCTCGTATTTCACTCCCGGCCGAGAGATGGGTTCCCATAAGAGCTTTGGACGATCGCCATCCAGAGAGACTCCAGAGAGCCCATCTGCGAGCCAGTCGCAGTCTGCGGTTGGGCCTTGGCACACGTCCCTGGTGCATTGGGCATGCCTGGCTTAAGTTCAGAGTCAACAAATGGAAGACAAAAAGTGAGAGCATGCGAACAGGTTCATCCTCTCGCTCAGCGACTCAGCAACTCAGCTCCGTTGTCGTCTTACCACACCAGCCAGGGGTCGTCCCCTTCTCCTTCGTCCACTTCCGTCCCTCCCTCTTCCAAGTCCATCCCCCCCCCCCCCCCCGCGCGCCCGCGCGCGTGTGCGTGTGTGTGTGAGACACAAAACTGTGAGCAGCGTGGCAGCTGGGTACTATGAAATGCTAAGCGCTTTCCGTATTCCGCCCCAGGCAGACGGACAACGACTCGCACTAGCACGATGTAACTTAATCCTTAGCGCAGAGCCCTACTGGGAAGCGACGTCGAGGTAATCGGCGGGACGATCTATGGTTATCCGCGAGGGTGGAGAGGTTGGCAGGCATTCGGATCCCCAGCCTCCACGCTTCCGCAGCCCGTGGTGGTATTCCTGGAAATCCTGGAGACGATTGACGGCCCTAAGGGCAATTAAGCCCCAGAGACATGGCAGAGAGCCAGAGAGAGAGCCTCGTTCGGCATTTCTCCGTCTTTGCTATTGCCGGATCACCTCAGCACCAGCAGTACCGCGCCACAATGCAACAGTCTGTGTCGTTGCTGTTGCTGCTGCCTCCAGTATTGAGCGAATCGAGTCGCCTTTCTTTCTCGGGCCGTTTACTTTCCATCTGCAGAAAGCACACGCCTTTCTTCTGCGACGAGGTCCTGGTTCCCGTGCTGCGACGAAAGGGGGCCCCTTCGATTCTTCGAGGGGAACCCCTCGTTACAGTATCGGAAACACGTTTTCATTCTTTCTCTCTCGTCGAGGACGCGCACCACGTTTCTGTCGATTTTGGCGTCTTCGTCTGCTTCTAGGCGGAAAAAGACCCCAGCCTCGAAGAAAACACCACCTGCGCGGCCTTTGTCCCGCAACGGCGCCCCAATAGCTTTGCAACCAAAGCAAGACAAACCTCAAAGGTCCATCCCGAGACAGTATCGAGCGGCGCTTGTGGCTGACTCCACCCCGTTTACCTCTGGCTGAACGCTCGCAACTTGGTTCGTCGTGGGCGTAAATAGGTACCTCGCAGGTCTGCACCAAAAGCTTACCGTTTTGCTTGGCACCGTTCACGCCACATCCCAGCCATCTCCGATGTGCTGCCCAACCTGCCTGGTTTTTCCATCTTTCGCTGCTACATGGACATTATGGCGCTCTGGTTGCGCCGCCGTTCGGGCGAAAGTAACTGATACCTTTTTCGAGCAGGAAACCTGGTCGAGGATGACAGAATGACAGACGTCTCGAACCAGCGCTCGAGCTGTTCCCTTCCATCCACATCCCGAAGTACCTACATGCGTTACGATTTTCCTTTTTCTTGCTGGTCTTTTTTGCAAAATACCCTGTTCTGCGTCTGCCTACAGGAGGGTGATCCCTTCCGTCCAGTCAGCTTACATGCCTCCAAGCCTCTTGACGTCAAAACGCGCCGGGGATCTTCTCCCCCCACGGCACATCATCAGTCCCCGTCGTTGCTCTCAAGTTACCCTGCCCATCATCATGACTAAAGTACCGTGGTTCGTATCGGAGCCTCATCGGGTGCTATTCCTCGTGCCCGCCAAGGCTCTATGGCAGCCTAGGGCTGAGCGGCCAGTCCGTCGTAAGGACGATGGCACGCGAAGGACGAGGGGCAAGCAAGTGCTGCTGCTGCGCGATCCGAAAGGCGGGATGGATGGATGGATAGATGGATGGATGGGGCACCGTCTTTGGTCCGCAGTCGTCCCGTTTTCTCAAACCCACACGATGAGGCAGGTTGACTATCCAGTCCGTCCACCACCCCGCCGCCAGGCTGTGCCGTGCGGGTTCTCTACCTTCTAGCGTATTTCTCATTAGACTCTATTCTAGGTACGGAGATGGGTCGACCCATACGTGAACTCTTGGCTTGGGCCCAGCTTCAACTTTGACCGTCAACTGTTCCATGTTTCCCTGTTCAAACCTATCTCCGTTGCGTCCCAAGTTTGGGTCATATAAGTCGTCTTTTCCCCCTCCCCTTCTACCCAACCTCTCGACTCTACTTCATCCTACATCCAGCACTCACAGCCAAGATTAATCAAGCATCTTGTAGCTTAATATCTACTCACGTCCGAGTCCCCCAGTTTCACTGACATCTCATCCTTCCCTGTCACTCAACCTCCCCCTACTCATCAGCCAACCGATACCATGCATTTCTCAACTGTTGTTGGCGCCGCTGCACTGGCTACCCTCGCCAACGCAAGGTACGTTCCCGCTCACCCTTCTTGGCCTCGGACACAGACATGAAACTGACATCACTCTCACAGCCCTCTCGTCCGCCGTCAAGGTCCCGCCGTCGGCCAGGTTATCTCCAAGTGCACACAGAACGGCGTCGTCGCCCTCACCTTTGACGATGGCCCCTTCACCTACACCTCCCAGCTGCTCGACACCCTCGCCGCAAACAACGTCAAGGCCACCTTCTTCGTCAACGGCAACAACTGGGGCAACATCGAGACGGCACCCGGTCCGGACAACATCCGCCGCATGAAGGCCGAGGGCCACCTCATCGGTTCCCACACCTACTCCCACCCGGACCTGAGCACTCTCTCCTCGGCGGACCGCATCTCTCAGATGACCCAGCTCGAGGACGCAACCCGCCGTATCGCCGGCTTCGCGCCCAAGTACATGCGCGCGCCGTTCCTCTCCTGCGACGCCGCGTGCCTGAGCGATATGGCCAGCCTGGGCTACCACGTCATCGACACCAGCCTCGATACGAAGGATTACGAGAACGATACCCCCGAGACCACGCACATCTCGGCTGAGAAGTTCAACAACGAGCTCAGCGCCGACGCCGCGGGCAACAGCTACATTGTTCTCTCCCACGACGTCCATCAGCAGACTGTCGTCTCTCTGGTGCAGAAGATGATCGACAACCTCAAGTCCAAGGGCTACCGCGCCGTCACCGTCGGAGAGTGCCTCGGCGACGCTCCCGAGAACTGGTACAAGGCCTAGAGTCTCTGTGCCCCGTGGTGAAAGTTCGTGAGAAGAGTGAGGATTGGGTAAAAATGGCATGGAGCATCGCATTGAGAATTTCTGGACAAGGTTTCGTTGGATTACACTTGCTTGGTTCCGCCGGCTATATGTACATACACACATGGGTGGATATACCAGGGACACCCCATCGGCGCACGTCATTTCGTGGAGATACCAATGTTTAATCAAATTACTAGTACCTCGTATAAGTCTTTCAGCGTGTTTGCGTCGTGCATCAGTCTTTAACCCCCGGCCACTCATCATTTTCTTCCCGCCCGGGCTGATGGTCTCAATTCTCGTGTAAGTCAGATAAGGCAGCCCCGCCACCACGTTGTCTTCACAACCTAAGACTACACCCGCCTCGAGACCACAACCCCGACACCTCTGCATCTCACTCTACGCAATTCATTATGAGACCATCGTGTACCGTTTCACTTCCATCGATGAGTAGGCAATCATCTCAGTTCGCTTCGGTCCGGTGGCTCAACTGATAAGGCACCTGACTTCGGTTGATTTCGCTAATAGAGAAATCCCCGTGGATTTTCGGAATCGTATCAGAAGATTGCGGGTTCGAGCCCTGTCTGGATCCAAGTACTGACTGGTGTCAGCATATGCGTGACTTGAGTTCTTCTTTTTTTTCTTTTCTTTTAACGCCAGCGAAGGATCGTATGGGCATGAGGGTTTAATTAGACTTTTAGGTTCTGATGGTGTTGCGGGAAGTCTCATGGTTGACCGACTTTTGCCTTTCTTTGTCTTGCACATTCTGTCAGGCCGGAAAGACGCCCCTCAATGTAATTATGTACCGTACACACATATACTAAGGTAGTCCTAACCTCTCGCCTGGATCTTACTCTTGAGCGTGTTGAGCCCACGACTCCACGAAAGCCCTCGGGGCACGCCGGTATGCATAGGAAAGGCAAGTAAGTGACGAGAAATCAACAGAATAGTATTTGATGCGCAGTTAGGAAGGATAGCGCATTAGACCTTGACCTCTGAGCTTCTTCATCTGAAGTTGCTCACCTGCCGATCGCAGAGCTAATGCGCTGTTCCTGGTGGCTTGGAAGGAATCTGACCCGTCAGGATCCCATGTGCTCTCTCACACATGTCTCACGTCGCTCGAATCAGCTATATCTCGAGCGTGCTCACCATAAGGCTCGGACGCTAGCTGCTTCCGCCCGCTCATATTTTCTGTGTGTTGTGATTTAGAATAGGCGTAGAGAACCCGAAGATGACAGGCTACTGGGACCTTTCTCTTAGTACCTACAAAGAGTGAGTCAAAATACTCAAGATTTTCGCCAAGACACAGCTCAGTAGATTGAAAGATTATCCGAAAAGAACTTGAGCATGGTTAAGAGATTAGTCTGTATCAAATGCCAGATTACACAGATTAAGTGCCTTCCTTCGAGATATTCTTCGCAAGGGAATTCGTTCTCTCCTTCTTGCTATATCAGAGCGTTTTACTTTGCTGGCCCAGTCAACAAATGAGCTATTTCAAGGCGGCGAAAAAGGCACCTTTCCTTGTCCTGCATTTCGAACAATAACATTGAAAGCTCGTAATCGTATATTTCATCGGTCCGCTCATGGTTTCAAGGTCAAAACCGTGAACCTCTTGACATTTAGCAGGCATGCAGTGCGGTATTGAGTTGTCGTTCTGCTCGTCAAAATTGTCATGGAACATATCCAACTTGACGTGGTTCTCGCGTTGTTCCTCTCTAGGATTTAGCCCGTTGACTACTATGTTCCAGACTTGTTTATGATGGTCATCGTCTCTCATGTGCGGCCCTTCGCGACGGTAAAGTTTCATTTGCTTCAATATACCCCACAAACGTAGCCACCCACCAGAGATTAGGCCGGTCTTTTCGTTAGTTACGTACTCAATTTGGTAATCCTCAACCTTGATGAGCTAATGATCGGGCTTATACAGTCTGCCTGGTGCGACAGGAACGTCTACGGCGGCCCAAGACTAACTGGGAGCCCTACGGCGAATATGCGATAGGCGGTGAGCCAGAAGGAGTAGACACAGTAGACACTCTCCAAAGGAGCTCCGATTCTAGGTGGCGACGCCACATGCCTGCGATGTGTTCATCTCCGAGCACCTTCATCATCTCCTTAGCTATTGCAAAGAGAGCAATCATTCTGTCGCTGAGGAACGTGATCTTGCAGCCAGTGTATGTGACTACGATTTTGGACCAGCAATCGTTTGCTTTTCGTGTGCTTTTCGTCTTTCCGCGTGCTCCGTTATCGCCAAGCTGAAGATCCTCGATACGCGGACCTTCGTAGGGATCCTTCACAGGAATATCCGGGGGCCATATCTCCGCCGCACGACCTGACCGGCAACTCCAAAAGACCTGACGCTCGCCGAAAGACACAACGCGTCGAGAAAGAAGGAGCTCTTGAAACACCCATGCCCTCATGTTGACATGGGCTCGCCTGACCTCCCAGAAATTCGCATCGACCAGATAACTTGGATTCGTCTGACGTCCGAAGGTGTAGTGAATAAGTGGTGGTCGGCAAGAATCGACGTCCCGCCTGTAAAATAGGGAATGTGAACTGTCCAGTCCAGACAGAGCCGACAAGTTGCAGAATGCGTGAGAATACACCTTATCCATCAGGGTCGACTCGTGTCGCCAGTCGGCCAAGCCATCTCCCGTTTGAATGATGCAGAGAGCATCTATCCAGAGATAACGTACACCAAGTTTCCGAACAAAACAAGCTGCATCTCGATAAAGATGTGGTAGGCTCTCTGGAAGAATGCCTTCTAAAAGCTCGCCGGCATTGCTATTGGTCAAAGTGAGACCGTTTACGCTCCCCTATAAATGGCCTAAAGTCATATAGGGGCTATGAGGAGTTTCATCGCCAGTGTTAATAATGCGGCAGACAAAACTCGATGTATCCAAGGGCCCAATATCAATACGAGGCGCGTTGGATACCACTTTGGATCAGTGGCAACCTCTCTGCACTTCTCATGATTTACTTTGCAATCTTGGAACCACGAATCCACGTGAGCAAAAGTCTGCTGCGATGAAGTGCCTTCAGAATATGTCTTGAGTGAATAGGCTTGAGAGGAGCCTACAAAGCGGTTAGTAAAACCCGTTTTGAGCCTGAGTGACAATCTTCCTAATACAGACTAATAAGATAGACATGATAGTTCTCTTCAGTCTTTGAAATGAAATGGCGTTCCCGTCAGGTTTCCTATATACCGATGCAGGGAATGAGTCTGAAAGATGCTCCCTGGTAATACCGCCGTAGTCTGGGAAAAATCTATAATGGGAAGGCTTGTGGATTGGCGACAACTCGAAAGAACTCTTCACCCTCATGTCCAGGCTTCTCGTAGGCCCGTCAGGTGTGTGTGATTGACATCGGACTGAGGATCCATCTTTGGTGATCTATGCCGGGGTCACTCCCAATTTCCACGCCTACGCTGTGAGAAGCAATTGGAGAATTAGAAGCTTCACCGCGGATCCAGTTTCTTGCGTCATGAGGCAGAATTGCCCACAACCGATTACATGCAAAACAACCGGCTTTAACGGCACACTCGAGAATTCGGTAGGTTTCGTGATGAGATGTAGACCGCATTTCTTCTCTTGTCATCATAGAGTCTATGAATTGTTGGCAAGCTGAGCACAGCATCTTCCAGGCTTGAGACCAAGGGGAAAATACTGCCTTGTGAATGGAAACGACAAGTAGTAACTCAATGGCCAGTAAGTGATAGAGCTATGAAAAGGTAAAAGACTATCAGTGGTAAATGATTCAACAGAAACGGTAAGGCTTTATATATGTAACTGGCCACGGGTCGACTCACGGGTGACGGCCGCATACATCACTTAGCGCCGGCAATCAACAGGTTGATAGGCAGGTTGCATGAAACAAACCAGAGGCGGGCGTCTGAGTTGGCTATTGATTGGTTCTAGTACGAATAGTTCAGATTGATGGGCGGGCAGAACAACTTTCTTGCTTTGAAATGCGCCTAAAGAAGACATGACGAAGCTACCCTCTCTTGCTTTTCTCTTTAATCGGTGCCTCTACTGTTCACACATCTCATCCAGTATACACTGTTCACTATCATACTTTCAGTGATTCCTCGAGCTCCAATGACAGGTCCGCATGAGTCCTGGTTAAGGCTTGGCCAATCTCGTAGCCAACCATCGAGAGACACTGCTGTGCTTGTACCGGTATATTGCAGACCTTGTTTGAGCACAACAATTGATTCGTGTAAGATTGTATCGAACCATGAGTCTCAAGCATCATCTAAGACTTGACCTCACGAGTAGATGTCCTCGAGACTCCTTTCAGAGTGTGCCGGTCTGTCCACCTGCAGTACAAGTGGCTACCTCCCTTCCCTGGTTGAGAACAGACTGCTCATTGGGAGGAATAAACTGAACGCAGCGCCCGAATCGATCGCATTCGCCATCCTTGGCACCTACAGAGCATGCCGTCCCAACATTTCCAAACAGAGCGCTGCCCTTTCCGTCGACGAAACTGCGCGGCACAGAAGCTATAATTTTCACGTGGTTAGCGAATTGTAACAAAGTATACCTCGTGTACTATGCAGGCGGTTTAGAATGGGATAGGAACTACCCACCTGCGAAAGCGTTGCCAACGGCAAAGGCGGCGACGGTCAAGAAGATGGCGGAGAACTGCATGGTGGTGGTGATAGGTGTTAATTGACGGAAAGTCGAAGAAATATGTTGATTATAATAGTTAACGTGCACCTGGCAGCAGTAGAAGAGAAAAGACGGATTGCGATGATTCGAAGTTGTTTGCTGAAGATCAATGTTGAATAATCGGAAATGAGTTTCCTTTATACGCAGTCGCGTCAAGGCAATATGACCCTCGTGCACTATAACATATGCATTCTAAGCTTATTTCTTACCTTCTTTTCCTTCCTCAGTCCTCGTGGAGTTGCAGTGCTGACTCCCTCAAACGAGGTCGAGACGCCTGACATCCGCGACAGTGGGTTTGGCATACTGCTGGATGCTTGTTCTTCTATAGACAAGGGGTGGATAGGGCGATGGGCCCGTTGTTCAGCCTCTCGGTTTCGGTGTTAATCAGCGCAAGGAGCTGGCTCTTCTGGGTGATCGCTTGCTCTTCTGGGCTAAGCTACCGCCTAATCCTTCTTTTTCGTTCGTTTGATGATTTCTTGGCCCCGGATCCGCGGCAGACATGGTATTGGCGCGGGGAGCCCTACCGACGGGATGAATTCAGCCAAGGGCAACATGGATTCCTGAAACACCAAGTCTCCAGTTCACGCGCTGCCATAGGAGCTTGGTCGTACGTCTGGCAGCGGACACCTGGCCAGTAATTGGACCGTGCTGTTCAGAGATATGTGACAATAACTTGCTGAGTGGCACTCTAGGCGGGCATGCCGCAGGCGAGTTGTGGCATGACTGGGACAGGTGTAGACAGCGCCTCCCTACCTCCATACCATCATCTAGGCTCTGTAAAATATGGCACTGCTCCAAGGGGCTGTCTGATACAGGTTGTCTTGCGTGTGTCAAAGCGTTTCAAAATCCGGACGAAGCGGTGGGCTCGTAGTACGACACGAAGGGCTTATTTCTGGCAGCTGCCATCCAATACTATGCGCTCTATGTGCTTAGCTTTCTAAGAGCTTAGGCAGTCAAAATAAGGGACGAATCAAACTCTCAAGAGACAGGGCATTGCTTGTGAGGTTGTCGCATTGGACGACGGTGACCGATGGAACCCCGATGGCTTCGATGCATCGAGTCGATGGCTACATGCACGAAATCATTATTTTTCTCTTTTTGTGATGTCGTGATGACTTATCTGCTAGACAAGATCCATGGCTGCATATCCTTAGTGAACAATGGTTACAGATCAATACACCTAGTGATTCCACTAGGCCGTGTTACTACATTATTTCTTCTATGCTGGGCTCCTACTACTGGGTTTAAGACTTCACGTGGTGGGACGGTGTTGATAACAATTAATAAACACAGTAAGTCCTTCAGAATACAGGGTTTACCTTGCCATGGGATGCTCCTTCGATTGAGTCAATCTTGTATGCAGTTGGAAGACTGACACACTTGTGTCGGTTTCGTCTCTCCGTGGATCCCGCGGGTGCCAAACGAATTTTAGCAGACCAACACCCGCCGGCAGCCCACCTAGGCATCAGACAGGCAGCGTGAGCGGTAAGAGTAAGATACGGAGCACACCAGAATAAGATGCTGCTTAACATGGTTTCTTGTCACCATACTATCTTGTCTAAGTTAAAAAGTACGTAGACAACGACCTTCTCCCTGTCAGCGCATAGTTACATTAGGCTGTCACATAGAGTATGAACAATCATTCATGGTCAACCCGTACAGGTACTTAGTAGCTAAAGCATACACTGCGACTCTCCCAATCCAACACCACAGGGTCCCAAAGCTGCTTCTCAACGGTCACGGAGGACTCGCCAAAGACAACATTACAGTCGACAACATGCCGTTGGTCGTTCGTGATACGACCCGTCGACGCCATCATATTCACCCACTCCATGATGACTAGGAATGCACTTGTATCCCAAAGCCCGTCACGCCGAGGGAAGTCCTTGAAGAGTTTGACGATAGCATGTCTCACTCCAGGCATTGTGCACATGAGGAACACAGTACACAGAGGCCAAGTCGGGCCGTCCTCGATCGTGAAAATCTCTGTTGCCTCTGCACCATTCCGGTTCTCCGCATCGTGGACCTCGAGGAGCTGTCTGCTCATTGATATAATGTCCATGAATGCGGGCGTGATGCGCTTGGTGTCCTCCACATCGGTCCAGCCGGCACAGCGTATCACGCTCCAGAGGTACAAGTAGTGTATTCTGAGGCTGATGGCCTTATAGTAGCTCTTGAAGTCCGCCTCCTTTTCGGTCTCTGCTTTGACGGCGAGCGGTTGGAAGGCAAGGTGCCAGGCGTCGGTGAAGCGTACAAAACTCCGGACGCGTGCTTGCGAGCTCGGCGAGGTGTACTCAAGCGGCGGCTTCTCTGGTAATGGAGCGGTAGATCCCTCAACTATGAACCCAGTGTATAGCGGTGCATGATGCTCGACGTGGTGGCGAACGACGTTCCACCAGCGGCGGGCAGCCTCCAGCGTTTCAAACTTCGTGGGCATTTCGTCGACCGCGTACCGCGTCTTGCGTCCGCGGCAACACCACGGTACTCGGGTCTTTGTCTCTTTCGGGTGCGCTCCGCCGTGAGTCCAAGATTGGAGACTCAGATACTGGAAACTAGTCATGACTTCTTCTAGCAGGGGGCTCGAATCCGCGCCTTGGCTTGGTGGGCACTGGTCAAGGATGCGGGACCCGTGGTTGATGTGGTTCAATCCAGCTGCCTTGTTGCCTCGAAAGCACTCGAAGATGATGAACAAAAGACACGCTGTCAGCGTACGTTCGAGAGACATTGGTGTTGAGTAGAGGATGTTCATC